AATATCTCATCTTCCATTTCAAAAATTTTGAGAGAGAATAAGTTCCACCCTTACCATGTGACATTAGTACAAGATCTAAAAGAAGAAGAATTTCTCAGAAGAATAAAATTTTACAATTTTATGCAACATCAACTAGAGTAGGACAACAATTTTTTATTCAAAGTGTAACGGGCGATAAATTTACTTATTTTTGGAGATGTTGGTATGAATCAGAACAATCGTCATTGTCGTAAAAATCAAGGTTGTCCTTGTGAAACTTGGATTTTATGATTTCACACCATTCTAATCAAGGTTTATAATTTCACAGTTAAATATTGGCGCCGTTTGGCTGGACACGATGTCTTTGTCCAGTTTTATAATTTCATGGTTTAAATTTGTTAGTTTTAACAAAAAGCACATTTAGCCACTAAAAATCTTCATATTACAGTTAATTAAGCCTAATTTGGTGGAAACACAAATACTTTTACGACACCCCAAATAAACTGGTAACTTGTAAACAATTTTGCGAAAACAACTCCTTTGGAGGGGTCTTTACTTATAAAAGATCGAAAGATCCAAAAAAGACCAGAGTCCTCTAGCCAGTTGCCTGTTTAGTGTGTGTTTGTGTTGTGACACAAAGGGGTAAGTGTTAAAATCTCCAAAAATGTGCACGATTTCATAAAAAGTTCAAAGTTTTGTTTTTATTAATATTTTTAAAGTTCAGTTTAAATTTGATGATAAATCGCTCTTTGTATTCTCGATTGGATAACGTTTTGAGATTTATATCTATTTTTAAAGATTAATTTGCATTGAAATTATTAGTTAAACAGTTATATTGTTTGATGAACGCTGACCACGCAACTACTATAATGTTCCTTACCAAGTTTTTGAGTTGTTACCAAATTTTGAGTTATGTTACCAAATTTTGAGTTATGTTACCAAATTTTGAGTTATGGTACCAATTTTGAGTTTTGTTATATTTTTGTTTTAGATTCTTTTAAATGTTTGTTTTATTATGCTTTCAAAGATTTAGTTTCAAATTTATAAGGTTTTCTTGAATTTATTTAAAAATGTTTCAATACTGAAGTTCATTTTCTGATAATTATATTTGCATATTAAACTACACTACAATTTATTGTTATACCAAATTATTCTCATATGACTAAATTTCTTTTGTACATACTCATTTCTAAATTAAATATAATTATTCATTTAAGCAAAATGCATATACTTGAAGTAGTCCCTTTGTCCAGTCACTAGAATGTGTTACCATCATCACGAACCAGCCTACGAACAAATAAATAATATTTTCACTATATGTCGGGCACAAGGTCCACGACAAGAGTTTTACAGTTTTATATCTAATAAATTAACAAAAGTTAATTTTGAAAATCTCCCAAGCCCGTCACAAAAGTTTTGTTAGCGATGAAGCAAGATTTGGCAATAACGGGGTTGTTAATCGTCACAACTGTGACTATTACTCCCAAAATAATCCACAGAAGATAAGAACAGCTCATTTTCAAAATGTTTATTCCATAAATGTGTGGGCTGGTATTATTGCAGATTACGTAATTGGCCCATACTTCTTCGAAGTCAACTTAACAGGACACAGGTATCTACAATTTTAGGAAAAAAAATGATTTTCCGGGGTTATTAGAAAATATTCCTCTCAACCTCCGACAAGAGTTGTAGTTTCAGCAGGATGGGGCACCACCTCATTATCACAGAGTCGGTAGGGACTATCTTGATGAGACGTTTGCAAATAAGTGGATTGGTAGAGGCAATGTGAATGCATGGCCTCCTCGTAGTCCCGACTTAACACTTTTAGATTTCTTCTTCTTGGAGGTTGTAAAAGAACAAGTTTCCCAAACCCCTATTCGTAATTGTGGAGATTTAAACACCAGAATTAGAAATGCATGTGTTGCAATAACTCCTGAAACAATTGTCCGCCTCCGGTTGCCTTGCTTAAATCGCATCGAAATGTGTGTTGCGCAGGAAGGAAGGCATTTTGAACAGTATACTTACGCTTGTTAAATTTATTTGTTTCCACCAAACTAGGCTTAATTAACTTTAATATGAACAGTTTTAGTGGCTAAATGTGCTTTTTGCTAATATTAACAAATTTAAACCATGAAATTATAAAACTGGACAAAGACATCGTGTCCACTCAAATGACGCCAATACATATTTAACTGTAAAATTATAATCCTTGATTAGCATGTAGGTATGAAGTATGAAGTCATAAAATTCAGATTTCCCAAGGACAACCTTGTGTTAAGGAGCTCTGGATATTAACGGGACACTTTTATTTACTTTAAATCGTTTTTATTAACGTTACTCGGATTTCATCATTATAAGACAACGATTCGCAATCGAATGAATCAATTTCTTTGGTTTGGTCGTAAAATCGTACCTCTGGTATGACACATCGCCGTCTCGCCGGTCAGCGATTTTGCGATGCTTATACAGTCGGCCAGGCTACTCAATTCTACGTCCTTGTAGAATTAAGCATGGAAACGAAACTCGGAAACATACTCATCGGCCCCTCCCGTGAAATGCCTTTTGGATCGACAAATACGTCGTTCAAAACGCTTTCAGGAGAGCATTTCTTCTGTTCAACAGACTTTCTGTTGTCTGGAATGGTGCTTCTTTGTTAAACTTTCTCTTTTTCTAACAGACCTTCTGTTCTTCTGAATGACGTTTATTCTATATTGCTTGAGTGAATAGACTTTCTATTCTCGAACAGACTTTATCTTCTGTTCTTCAGAATGACGTTCATTCTATATTTCTTGAATAGACTTTCTATTCTTGAACAGATTTTCTGTTCTTCAGAAAAATGTTCATTCCGTGTTATTTTTGAACAGACTTTCTGTTCTTCAGAATAATGTTCATTCTGTGTTATTCTTGAACAGACTTTCTGTTCTTGTAAATGTGAACATTAAAAGCAGTCCTTACTTACCAAAACATAGATACTTTGCCCCTGTATTTCGCGATACTAAACGTTTTACAGTAAGTACTTAAAGAGACGAACTCAAAACTTACTTTTATTAAAGAAACATTAAGAACACAGTCTGATTTCACTTGTTATCAGAACAAAACTCAGTATACAACTGGGATCCCTGGTCCATTTTCACCATTTATTACTAACAAGCCAATTTTTCGTGAGTAGCTTCATTTTGACGAGACGCCCAACTTCTCCCTTACAACAATTTTCGTTTGTGGTAGCTAACAGGGACAGCAGGGATGAAATATGTTGATTTGACGATTTTCAAAAATTTATTGCTAGCTGGGTTTTTTTTTGTTAATTCTTAAGATACTTATATCTAAATTAACCGAAAAAATATTTGTCCTACAAAATGCAAGGTTTTATCAAAGAGTCCCCGCTCTCTACTTGTAAAAATCACTTTCATTTTAGTACGAACTGGGTCTGAAAGACCCATTAAAAAAAATTAAAAAACATTTATTTCAAAAGAAAAAATATCGTCACGTACGGGCGAATAAAATCGGCGTATGTAAAACTCAACTATTTCTGAATAACTACGATTACATGACTAACTATTGCAGCGATTATGTTCAAAAATTATGACGGCGAATTTTTTCACTAGACGCTCTTGACGAATGACAATGACATTTTACTAACTAAAAAACGTTTACTAATTAGAGTTATCCTCATGTTTGGCCGACCCACGTTTTTTTGGCACGAGCCGTCACTGTATATTATACAACCATACTGAAAGTGCACTGTGGTTTTCTTGCTTCAACTCGTGTGCCCTATACTAAAAGACAAGGACAGCCTTAGATTCAACGCTTATCTGCGAAAAGAAGTGGACTGCTTGTTCTTTAACAAAAGAAGCGCGGTAAAAGCCTACTTACTATGTGATAATTGTTGATTTACTTACAATCACCCCGATTTATGGCTTAGGCGAACGGAGTTCTAAAATAGACTATACATAATTTCAATCACGGCAGCTTCATTTTCTGGTACGACGTTTAACTTTAGTTTTCTTGAACTGATGATCAACTTTTCTTAATTTTTTTTTCGAGTTTTCCTAAATGCTTGGTTAGAAGGAATTGTATCCTAGCGTGTAGACGAACGCCAGCATCGAAATTTCCATCACACTTCCCCAAAGTTAAAAGCATATCGGTTTTTTCGGAATTCGAAAACATTGTTATTAATTTGTCATAGTTTTGGAGCAGTCATTGCCATTGCCATCTATACGTTATTTATTATTTATAAAGAAATTAAGACGAAGTCGTTTAAGGAAAGTAAAATGTCTTGCCTATTCTGACTTATCTCCCTCAAGTATATCAAATGCAAAGAAAGAAAATGAACTATTTTTAACTAAATAATATCGCTATCACCAGGAGCTGTCCCTAAAAAGAATAATAATAGCGGTTCTTAAAATCCACTGTTTCACAGTCCAACTCGCATTATACTGATATTTCAAGGTCCTGAGTTGGTGTGGAGTTCCGGTGCGCCACTTTGTTTTGCAAACTCTCCATGCGTGAAGCGAGCCTCACTTTTTTTTAACATTTAATTTACCCATACAAAGCTTATAAAGCAGAAAAACCATACAGCAAATATAAAATGGGTGTTGATCACACTATCACCTATGTTTCAATAAATACAACAGACTTTAGCACGACTTTTTCAGCTCATTCCCAATTTATTGTATAAATAACAAAAAGTTAGTATTTCTATCGGTTCTTATAGCATTACTTGTTCTCATTGCACATTTTAACGACGTAATACATCTATAAAATAGTTTAAACAAATTCCTAATTTACGACTTAGTCTCACTTGCTAAAAACATGTATCCCTCCCATATACATTTGATTTAAATTACACATCGTGTGAGTACGACGCGATTTTAGCGGCTAAAGTAAAATTCCTGACATCATAAATAACGTACCTTTTTACACATACGGTACATGATATAGATTATAACTTATCACTACAATGGCTCTAATCATCGCTTCAGTTTGATAATTGTGCCTAGTGTTCCAAGTAATATACATTAGGTATACGTTGGCAAACCCATTTTGCGCAGGACTGCAAGCTGCGCATTCATGTGCCCCTCCAAATATTTTGGCTCATACTGCGCTAACTACGAGGGTGTGAAATTGAAAAAGAGCGCGAGAGCAGTATTATTGATCGACCACTGTAGGGCGATGTACACAGTATATTTTTAATCTTACAAAAAAATATTAATTTTTCTCATCAGAACAGTGTCAACGTGTTTAAAATATCGCACTATGGGATTACAAGTGTTGCAATAGATATTAGTGTAATTCAAGATGTCAGGTAAGTGTTTATAATCAAATTAGTATTGAGATTATTGTGAATATTGCGAAAATACTTTCATACTATTTCAGTTTAACTAGTTATTTTGTTATATAATAACCGTTATTTTAATGTCCTATATTAATTAAGTGAAGAGATAGTCATCTAACAGAGACGTTTCCTGTGTACCCACAGTGAATTAATTTAGAATTGTAGGAGCGTACATTGCTACATGTAATTTTCTAACGTCATGTAGACTAAACATAGCAATATATTGAAAAAGAAAATACGTTGGGATTAGTTTTGTCTTAAACTATGCAACATATTGTGATAACCCAAACTTCCCGCCTTAAAAATTGACCTTGAAACAGTTTGAAAGGCCCGCGAAAAATTTAAAAATTCAAAGTTTGGCCTTGACTGTGATCGTCTAACAAATGAGAACCTACGTTGTGTGTTTTTTTTTTTTTTTTTTGGTTTTGAAAAAAAGGCGGGAAGAAGTTCTTTCATACAAGTGCATACACTGTCGAGAGCGCAAGCAATAATAGACAAAATTAGGAGCCTTCCTAAGGAGGAAAAAGAAACGAAGAACGACAGACGCTCGATTTGCCCTTCTGGCGAGTCCGCAGGGCCAAGGTGTCATCGGTCTTCATTCCCCAAAACCCCCTGGGGTTTTATTCACCGACATATTACATGTCAAACACCTTAAGATATGTGAAAGAAAAACACTCGCGAATTGACAGACATACACATATGAAAACCGAACAAACACAAGACCTACACATATGTAAATTGGATGGCAGAACCCGAATCATTATGAGAGTGTGGCGATCGAACAAAACATAGAACAAAATATCAATTTCATTTACGAGCACAGCAAAATACCCAGAGGGGGCGTTGTAGCGCAAGTAGAGGTTGGGACTCCTGATCGTCACTGTTCTCCCTCACGACGGTGATTCTATCTACACCAAAGCCTGCTCACACGCACATCTCCATTACGAACGTGCCCTGCGAAACGAGGCGGTTACGATCGCAGATCCGTAGTGGGGTCCCGGCTATCACGAAACCGGCAGCGTTAAAAACCCGCGACCGCCCCCTGAAGCTATACAACACCCGCGGACTTGTGCAGGTGACGCGATTAATCCCGTCAGTTTGAGAAGAAGTCGCGCGCCCCACGTACACTACGAGTTATGTGTCATTTACCTTTAATTTCATTTGAATGTTCAATTTCTATGACTCTAATTTTAAATGACAACCGAACAAGAGTTAAAGTTTCAACAAAGAGCAATAAACAACATTTAAATTCGCCACACACTCTTACGAAAATTCAACAACAACTAATTCTTAATTGAGATCAAATTTGGACATCCGATAATTTATATGAGAGAAACATTCATCAACAAACATTTACAAGATCAAAACTTAGCAAAGATTTGTGAAAACAAAGATCTGGTATGAAATAGGCTTGTACAAATTAAATATCATGTTAGGTCAGAACTGCAGAGCATGGAAATTTACGTTCAATTCAAATTATACAGCAAAGAAAATTACTGAGGCTGAAATTGTGAGACAAAGACAAATTGCATGAGGTGAAAGATTGTAAAGTTAACAGATTTACATGTGATTAATATTAATTCGTGTCCAGTCAAGTTATTGGTTAAAATTCAAACGTGAAATTATTTAAATGCATTGTGGGCCATTATTACACATACATTTCCCCAAACAAAACACATAAACAAACATGGCAGACAAGCTGCAGTTGCAAAATGGCGTTGGACGAATTCGTCATTCCAAATAATAGGCGTCGAAAATATGCGATGCAAAAATACGATGAATCCTGTGGCGTTGTATAAACGATGTGCTAAATCCAAAGAATAAAGGCACGTCCCCCCATGACCCACAATGTTGTTATTTTGTTCAATAGATTCAGTTAAAACATGTGCTCGTTTAAAAGAAACAAAATGGAGGCTTCAAAATGGCCGCTGCCTGAACAAAGAACGGTGAAAATAACAACTCGTTTGCCGCCATCCAAAATACAGATTTCACAAATATAGCTAAATAAAGCATGGCCCGAACTAGAAATCACTTCCTGTAAAGCCCTACTGCGATGGATTTTAAATGAAAGATAAAAAAAACGAGATTAGTGGAAAAACAAGCGCACGCGTCGCTGCGTCACGAGGTCAGAAGTATCGTCGGGACTTGAAAACTCGCGGCGAAACAGGTGTTCAAAACATACCTCTCCAAAGATGCGAAGATTTCGACACAGCTTACCGCCAAAAGGAACACAAAAACCTCGTCGTAAGAACGGTGAGAAATCAGGAACACCCAATGGCTCAACGGTGGCTGCTAGGTTTTCCAATGGAACTGGATCAACACTGGAAAAACAAAACACAACAGCAAAAGGCACAGAATAATTCACAATTAAAAATACAACCTGTTGCTCGAAGCGCTCGAAAAGAAATCGACCGTTTGTTCCAAGCGGTCAAAGCGAAGTGACTCATCTCTCAAGACAATACCACCTTCGCTTTGCGCACGTCTGTTTCTTTGGGGTGGTTGGTTGCCAACCTCTCCTTCTTCTCACTAACCGTTTCTTGTGCGCGCGGAATTCGTTTGAAATTTAAAAATTCGAATTGGATCCTTACAGTCGTCCCCCAGCGTTTTCGGAGCGAAGCTACGCGTAGCGACTGGAAACGCTAACCTAAAGGAAGGCCAATCGAATTTTTATCTTCTTTCTTCTAGACACGTCCCCCCGATTCCAAGTGTACCAAGACACGTTTGCCTCACCAACGTGTCCTCCGGGCGTTTCCCGAAGTGTTGGGCGGAGGAAGCGAAAAGGGGTTAAAGGGTGCCTGAGCAGGCAACGCGGGGACAGGAGCGTGTGACCTGGAATCGTCACGACGCCTGCGTCGTGGTGACCGGCGCTCACGCCTTCGATGGGGCGACCCTCTGTCAGAGTCCCTGTGTTCTCGACCGGACCCACGTCCAAGGAGGAACTCCTGAGCCCTGGCAAAACTCTTTTCCCTCGATGGAATGGTGCTCCACGCGCTCCAGACGTCGTCCGGGAACACCCTCATGACGCTGTCTATGGTGTCGAGCTCGCTGTCTGGTAACATCAGCGACTTCAGGAGCCCGTACTTGTTGATGAAATAGTCCACCATGAGTCCGTCTCGGTGGGGGTCAAAACGTCCTCGCCGGACCTCCTCAGCCACGGCCCTGCGTTGGTGTGCAGGCCAATACAACTCCACGAAGTCGTGACGGAAGTCTTCGTAGGTGCTCCAGCTGTCTTGGCTGGCCGTCGCCCATGTCATCGCGTCTCCCTTGAGGCACTTCAACACCTCTCCCAGCTTGTTGGAGGAGGGCGTGTGCGTCTCGGCGCAGTAATCCTCGAATTCCCGCAAGAACTCCAGCGTCTTCTTTCGCGTGCCTGAAAAGGAAGGGCGGGGCAAAGATGTCGTCGCCAATCGTCGCTCGAGGTCCAAAGCGTATCGCCTCGAGCCCCTGTCGTGGGACCTGGATCGGCTTCGCTCGTAGGACCGGTGGCGTCGTTCTTCTGGGGTCCTCTCGCGTCGCTCTCGGCGTCTGCCGCGTTCCTGGCTAGGGCTTCTCGAACGTCCTTCGGAGGAACGTTCCGGTTCCCTGCTAGGGCTTCTTCGGCTACCCTTGGAGGTCGTGGCTTGCGTGTGATCTGTCCACACGTCCGTGATCCGGAAGTCGGGGTCGTCACGGTTATCGCTGCTGCGTTCCCGTCTTTCGGCCATTTCTTCAGCTGATCACTTTGCCTGTTCTAAATCAAAACACATGAGTATTTATGCAACATTAAATGCCACCCTCTAACACAGTATGCAACATTGTATGCTGGTCACGCGGCAACAAATTCTGTGATAACCCAAACTTCCCGCCTTAAAAATTGACCTTGAAACAGTTTGAAAGGCCCGCGAAAAATTTAAAAATTCAAAGTTTGGCCTTGACTGTGATCGTCTAACAAATGAGAACCTACGTTGTGTGTTTTTTTTTTTTTTTTTTGGTTTTGAAAAAAAGGCGGGAAGAAGTTCTTTCATACAAGTGCATACACTGTCGAGAGCGCAAGCAATAATAGACAAAATTAGGAGCCTTCCTAAGGAGGAAAAAGAAACGAAGAACGACAGACGCTCGATTTGCCCTTCTGGCGAGTCCGCAGGGCCAAGGTGTCATCGGTCTTCATTCCCCAAAACCCCCTGGGGTTTTATTCACCGACATATTACATGTCAAACACCTTAAGATATGTGAAAGAAAAACACTCGCGAATTGACAGACATACACATATGAAAACCGAACAAACACAAGACCTACACATATGTAAATTGGATGGCAGAACCCGAATCATTATGAGAGTGTGGCGATCGAACAAAACATAGAACAAAATATCAATTTCATTTACGAGCACAGCAAAATACCCAGAGGGGGCGTTGTAGCGCAAGTAGAGGTTGGGACTCCTGATCGTCACTGTTCTCCCTCACGACGGTGATTCTATCTACACCAAAGCCTGCTCACACGCACATCTCCATTACGAACGTGCCCTGCGAAACGAGGCGGTTACGATCGCAGATCCGTAGTGGGGTCCCGGCTATCACGAAACCGGCAGCGTTAAAAACCCGCGACCGCCCCCTGAAGCTATACAACACCCGCGGACTTGTGCAGGTGACGCGATTAATCCCGTCAGTTTGAGAAGAAGTCGCGCGCCCCACGTACACTACGAGTTATGTGTCATTTACCTTTAATTTCATTTGAATGTTCAATTTCTATGACTCTAATTTTAAATGACAACCGAACAAGAGTTAAAGTTTCAACAAAGAGCAATAAACAACATTTAAATTCGCCACACACTCTTACGAAAATTCAACAACAACTAATTCTTAATTGAGATCAAATTTGGACATCCGATAATTTATATGAGAGAAACATTCATCAACAAACATTTACAAGATCAAAACTTAGCAAAGATTTGTGAAAACAAAGATCTGGTATGAAATAGGCTTGTACAAATT